AATGCGTTACCTAGGGAGGTGGTGGAGTCTCCTTCCTTGGAGGTTTTTAAGGCCCGGCTTGACAAAGCCCTAGCTGGGATGATTTAGCTGGGAATTGGTCCTGCTTTGAGCAGGGGGTTGGACTAGATGACCTCTTGAGGTCCCTTCCAACTCTGATATTCTATGATTCTATGATTCTATGATTCTAAAGCTTATGCTCAAATAAATTTGTTAGTCTCTAAGGTGCCACAAGTACTCCTGTTCTTTTTGCGGATACAGACTAACACGGCTGCTACTCTGAAACCTTGCTTTGACTGGTAATTTACACCAAAAGTAATAGAGCCCTCGAAACCGGCTTTGACCACAGGTGCTCCTCTGGTCCCAGCTGGCTCTGCGGAGGGAAATTGTGGAGAATTGGCCCTGGGAGGGTCACAGGAACCAGTGAGGCTCTGATCACCACTTCAGAGTCAGGGTACTGCCTAACTCATGGGTCATTGAAGCTGATAGCAACCAGACTGGGTCGTTCTACCCCATATAGTTTTTAAAATATGCCAAATTCAAAACTACATTTGAAAGAAAATGAAATAGCCCCAAATTGTATGGCCTTAAATCATGACCTGATTAAGGGAATGACATGAGAGACTCCATTTTGTTTAAAGTGACTGTGTGACTCCGTGCAGAGGCGTCTAATCCCAACAACACTTTATTAATATTCTAAGAATTCAACCCTTTGCGTGTGTGAAACACCAAGGAGAGTTTGTGAGGGGCTTTGAACTCTGGAGTTCTGAGGATGCTTAAGAACTTCCAGTCTTAACACCCTGACACCCTCTGTTTGATAGGCCTAGAAAGAGAGACACATTGAGGTGCAGGTCACATGGGGAAAGCTGCAGAAACAGAAATACAATACGATACTTCTGACTCCTCGTACCACAGGCTGAGCTCTAGGTTGATCCCTGTTACACTGTGTTACAAGATAATGTTAGTATCATGTCTGATAACAAAATGTTTGCCTCCAGGAAGGTTCAGGAGAAAGAGGTTTGGCATGAGTAGTCCCAACTATTGGGGTTTATTTCTGACTCTGCCAATCGCTCCTTGTCTGACCTTCACCTGAATGTGCCTCCCCTTACCTCCGTGGCAAACAGGTATAATTGTAACTTTCAGGGTGGATTGTTTGAGTCTTCCTGTGATCTAAGCATTTCACGGCACTTCACAAACACTCATTAAATTATATACAGCCAAAGAGATGAATTACTAAAGTAGTAATAACTTTTTACTGGGATTAGATGTTCCAACACTGAAGATTAGATTCACTTTAAAAATGTATGTCAAGGTCTCAGATGTCATTCCAGTGCTCAGTTTGTGATTCCTAACCTTTGACATTGGGGCTTTTTGACTTTCGTTCCATGTACCTTTGCATTTCCCTTTTCTATGTATTTTAAAGTTTCAGGGTAGATACTGAACCAGTGTAAAAGGGAACAGTTCCGTCAACTTCCAATTGAGGGTATGTACTTTATTTAGCCCGGCTTAGAGAAACCTTGTTGGGAGTGTCTCTCTCTGTGCATACTCCGCACCTCTACCCCCTGGTGCTCAGATCCAACGTATAGGAAACCAATGGGAAACATCAGGTACTGCATCTCCACCCATGGGCAGCCAAGAGAACTGTGTCTTGTGAGAGACTTCAGCTAATGAAGAAAAGGAAGAAGTATAAGACTGGCAGAGTTAAGCAGAACTTCTTCAAAGGTCACTTTGCTGTGGGATGAGACGGGGTTAGTTGCCATTCTGACCAACCTAGTGCATTCTGCAAGACCCAACTCCCACAGAAAGCTTTTCAGCCAGAATTAGAATGATTTTTAAAGTGGAAAATACACCCCACCAGGATTTCTTCTAGCCCGAGCAGCACTAAATGCTTCCCTCAGTTGTAAGCCCAGAACGTCATTGCAGTCTGTGGAGCTGTACTGATGTCCAGTGGCTCAGTATCTGTCTCTTGAGCTCTGTAAAGGAATG